AAAAAAAAATTAACTTTTTTAATAATTAAATAAGCTTTTCATCATTTCTTATCATTAGTAATACTGATATGAATGTTGTTAATTTTAATATTGCATACCAGGATTTAAGTTTTACTATTATGGTAAGTTGCTTGGATAATTATAAAGATTATTTTATTGGTTGTTGAAATAATTTTAGTTGGGCAGAGGTTAGTTATTATTCATACTTATAGGAGAGTTTATTTAATGTGGAACTTAAATAGGTTAAGTGTTTACATTTTAGTTTTAGTTTGGAATTTAAACTACTAATACTTCTTTGATGAGAGCGTTATTAGCTATTGTTTCATTTGTCTATTTTACTGCTTTTCTAACTTTTATTATTACTGCTATATATAATATATCCAAAAAACATCCAATTATTAAAGCAGCCAATTAAGATGATGCTTCATTATTTACATAATATACGTGTAAAGAAGATAAATCTATGCAAGAATTAACACCGTTGCATTAAACTTAAAGATAATTTAAAGCCAAATTATAAACTACTGAAGTTTCATCTGAATTGCCTATCTAACTACAATTTGAATAAATAGAACTTTATAAATGACCTATTATATAATAACCATCATAATAGCCATCATGGGTGATGTTATAATCTATATTTAAAAAAATTACAATAAAATATAATTTTTAATTAAAATAATTTACTGCAAAAAGTATCAAATATCATGTAAATCTAACTTAAAAAAGTTAAGAGGCAGATAAGTCCTATGATCAAAAAAATGAGCAAGCTAACAATTACAAAGCTTGCACTACTACCTTTCATATTACAGAGTAGGTAAACAGTAATAATTACAAAAGCTATCATAACACAAGATGTAATAAGTATAGAGATTTATAAATACTTATGGTACTCTTTTTAGTGAAGCAGTAATGAAGAAATTACAGAGAGAATTCCTAATGCACCTAACATACAGCTAAAAGCATAAAAAAAGTTCAGAAAATTTTTATGAGTCTCTCTGAATTGAACTTTAAAGTCCTTAGTTTAAGATAATAAAAGTTAGTTGTCCATTTTTATTTTATTTTATTATTTTATCTATAATTTTTATTTATTTAATCTTTAT